ATTATTGAGTGTTTAACCCGGATTTACTACTTCCTAGCCGTGCAACTTTGGGCACACATTTTTTTAAAAATTGATTTTGGGGAGAGAGAAAGGAAGAGAGAGAGAGAAAGAGAAACATTGATGTGAGAGAGAAACATCAATTGGTTGTGTCCCATAGGTGCTCTGGCTGGGGTTCAAACCCCCAACATAGATATGTGCCCTGACCAGAATCAAACCTGCAACCTTTTGGTGCACGGGTGGATGCTCCAACCAACTGAGCCACCCAGAGTGAGCCACTTCCTCTTCATTGTACTGGAATAGAAAATGGCTGCCACTGCACACTTTCTCCTCATTTTTCTGTCTCTGTTCCCAAGGTACACTGCCATCTCAATTCCAATAGTATATAGGCTGCACTTGCAAGACTCAGGAGGTTTAGATTCCCTTCCCTTCTTTTTTAACCTATGAGAACAGATATTGAAATTATACCAGTGATGGCCTCATCTATCCCCCACACCATCCATTTAGATGGTTTACCTGTATGCCTGAGCTAATGTCCTTTGCCCACATGACTGAAGTGGGCCATCTCCCTGGCACACATTCCTTAGTGATGCTAACTAGGCAGGCACACCCACTTGCCTTGGCATGTTTTATAGATGACCCAAGCTGCAAACACCAACATGTATAAAACATATGCTCTTTTTGTATAATTTTAGGCACCAAAATATGCCTACACATAGGGGTGTGTGCATACAGACACACACGTATTCTTTTTGCCTGGTAGAAATATGCTTCTGTGGTGTTCCTTCTACTCCCACACATGCCCCTCCATGGCTGGCACATCTCCTAATTATTCCCATCTACTCCCTCCCCATAGACCTTTTGTGTGTATATTTTGGCACACATCCTCTTGATTCTGCCTAGTTCCTTTTTCTCTCTTTCTCCGCCTCCCTCTCTTTCCCTCCTCTTCACAACTCTTTTAGAAAATTTGTTAAACTATACACTCTTTATTATTAATGCACATTTATGAAAAATTCTTCACAGTTACAAAAGTGCAAGGTTATAAAATCATCTCCATACAAAGGTTGGCATCTTCCCTTTCCCCATCCCTCCCTAACCCTCCCACCCCAGACATCAGCATTCCTCAGGACAGCACTCAGAAAAACAGAGCTCTGTGGCTCTAGATCTCTCCACCCAGCACTGTGACAAACATGATGGTAATGTACACAGGACCTTGCAACTTGCTTCTTTCACTTCTCTTTTGCCTCCTTCTTGGGTGGGGAGAGCAGACAAGTTTCTCTAGCTTTGGGAAGAATGGACAAAAATATTTATTTTCTAGAGCTGGAAAAAATGCCAGAGCTATAGCAAAAGATATCTATAGGGATTGTAAGTCTTCCCTGATGGTGGAAGAGAAATACTTGTTTTGGTCTGTGATCAAATTCCATACACCAACCTCCTTAAAAGGAGCCAGCAGACTCTATAGCAACTCTGGGGACTCATTTCTGCAGGGTTCTCTGGGAATCTCTATAGGAATGGGGAAACAATGGAGACAATCTGAGGGTGATCAAAATGAACTGGTCCAAAGTGGTGTGGTGTAAATGTGGGGTCTTTTCTAAAGAACAATGGCCCAGAACTTGACTATCACAGCACTGTTGGTTAACTAAACTTTGATATCCTCAAGCCCATGAGGAAGCTTCTTTGATTAGGATAATCTCTGAGGGATGGAGGAGAACAAAGGGAAGTAGTCAGGATCTCATTAGTCTGCCTCTACCACATCTCTCTGTTTTTATATTTTCCAAACAAGTAGCTATCCCTACTCAAACCCTAATAGGATTCCTTATTAGTGTAGTAAGCAATGCAATAAAGAGATGGCTGAGTAGACTATTGGAGAACTGAAGTCAAGTTCCAGAGAGTTTGGCCCCATATCAATAGACACCTAACATACATGAAACCTCATGAACAGACACATGGATTCAGAGATACTCCAACACTTACATGTTAAATAATCTGGAAAAAAAGTTAATGACACCTTGTGGGATCATCATCATGGGTTCTTGGTCAGCATCACTATGGGAACTGTTTCAATTGGTACTGCTAGATTCCCTCTAGAAGTGTGCCTCTAGAAGCTTGCTTCTGATAGTCTGTACAAGATACTGGTGGTGGGAGGTGAGGGAAGTTTCCTCATTGTGCTTTAGTTAACTGGGGACCTTCTAGCAGCTGGGGAAGTTCTAAAAGCCATGTATCCTACTCATTAACAGGACTAAATAATCTCATTAGAAAGGACATTTGATCTCAAGGATCATTTGGTGTCTTGTTTGGTTCTAGTTCTATGCAAAAAACAAGTACATATCTTAAAATATATTAACTATATTTTAGCAAACAAGAGTGTCTAGGAGATTATCATAGATGCATATGATGTTCTTCTATGGGAGGCTTAACTATTTGTATCAGGACTATTATTTCTACAAGAACCTTTCCAAATACCTTAGACTGTGAGATTGACTAGTGGAGGGCAGCCCCAATCCACCTGTCCTGGACATAGCGGAAGAAGAGATAGGGCACAGTTCTGCTCCAGATGTCACAAGAGCAGGGCTCTGGCCCAGATGTTGTAAGCGAGATTCAGGACACACAAGGTTCAAGTACCCCAGGTCTAGCAAAGTTCTGGGTACTCTTTTGGGTTGACTAGTTCAGGGAGCATGAGTAAGAATTCTTGGAAGATGATATGTTTCTCTTTCATTCCTTCAAGCCTGCCAGGAAGATGGAATGATACAAGCCTGCTGGAGTTGGGGGCAAGGTAGGAAGCCCCTGTTTTAATTTATATCCTGGCCAGCATTGGCAACATGTTGGACTGTGCCTTAAAGTCTTCTCCTATCATGCAGAGGTTCTTACCCACACTTTCTGACACCCTTTGTATCTCTTGCAACACAACACAGCAGGGCTTAAATAGAAGGGGTTAACACAGCTTTCTCTCCTGTTTCCCAAAGGTCTTATTTCTTAGATGGCTACCATTTCTAATGCATTATTTGTACATTGCAAGGCAGGTGACTCTTATTCAGGTGCTGCCTGTGCTGCTTCTAAGTTTCAGAGGCTGTGATTTGCCCTACCATGAGCATATCTAAATCTGTACAGCAGCTAGGTTTTTACTGTCCTTTGTATAGCTGATCTACTAGGATGTTCATGGCTGCTGAGTCCTAGGGCCCCACTATCCAGCCTCCCAGGCATTCTCTTCCCAAGCACCTGGGGCACTACTGGAAAGAGAGCCGAGTTGGAGTTGAGTCTCAACCTTGCCGTTTAGGCAAGTCACACCCGCTCTTGAGTCTCTATTTTTTTTTAAATCTGTAAAATAGGAGAAATGATGGCTTGCCTGCCACACAGGGTTGTGGAATTAGGAAGAATAATGCCAAAGCACTTCAGGAACTGTCCAGTACTGAACAAATGTGGAGAAGATGATGATGAAGCTGATGACACTGATAATGAAGATGACGACAACGATGATAATTGTGCTTTATACATGAAGATACTTGATTTTTGACGGACTGATTAGACACAGTTTCCCTGACTAGAGCTACCTAACACCTTCCTTCTAGAGTTTATCTGGATAACCTTGGGTAAGATAGTCAGCTTTCAGCAATGAATTCATCTGTAAAATGGGAATAATACAAGCCACCAGGTAATGTTGCTGCGAGAACTAATATAAATGAATCAATAGATGTAATAGTGCCCAGAGGAGTGCTGGCTCTTATTAGGAGCTTCATCAGCACTACTTGACTTTGAAGTTATATACTTTTGAAGGGAATTGTGATGTTTTCTTATTTGACTGGGGTAGTTGAAAGAGCACAGACTTACTTTGCTCATAAGTATCACATAACCTTGACCTCTCTGGGCCTTACTTGCCCATCTGTAAAATGGGAACTTTAATGCTCACCTCAGAAGATTGTTGTGTGCATTAAAGGAAATTGTGGAGAGCATTTATCACAGTGTCCGACACTGGCAAGTGTTTGGTAATAGCTCTCTCACCTTTATGCTTAAGAGAGTGAGTTTAGAAGAAAGAGGAAATCCTCCTTCAGTCCTGTACTATCATGCTACAGGGATGCAGCCCACAGTGCACTTTCCTGGTGACATTCCTTGGCATGAGCACTGTGGCAAGAATAGTTACGAGATTAGGAGTCCGAGTGCCAGGACTCAAGCTGTTCTTTCCTGGGCCTCCTGCTTCTTTCTTCTGAAGCCAAAGCTGGAGTGAGAGGCAGAAGACAGAGGTGGGAGAAAGGGCACTGAAGGTGTCCTCAGCTTGCTACCTGGGACCTTGCCAGCAGGCTACAACTGGTGATCTAGTGTGGGGGGCAGTCACTGGGAGGTGGTCTCACCTGTTACTGCTGGTAGGAGGCAGCCAAGGGGCTTGGCATTGGAGAGCTCTCCAATGGAATGGAAAGCTCTCACCCTCTGGAGGCAATGGTAGGCAGCTCTGAGCAATGACAGGTGGGTGTCAGAGGGAAAGTTTTGGTCCTGTGCCACTTTCCTTCTGTACACTGAGGTCCCAGGGATTGTTCGCCATGGTTCTCAATGTACCACACATATTCTGGCCTCTATCATTTGTGTATGTACACCCTTCTTGGTCTACTTGACAAAGCAGACAGTTTTGATGACCCAGCTCACAAATCACCTCTACTCTTATTCTTCTCTTGAACTTTTTAAAGCACAGTTGATAACCCCTCCTATGGGCTTCCATAGCTATGTACTCAGAATGCCAACAGATTGTCTTAAAGGGAATATTTTCTGATTCTTTCTCCTCTAGCAGAGGGAAGTGCCTTGAGGGCAGGAACTAGGTGCCTTCATCTAACACTGCCAGTTCCTAGCACAGTGCCTGGCCCACAGTAGAAGCTTATTCAAAAGTAGTTTCCTGACATTGCTTGAGCTATGATAGAGGTGGCCAGGGCACCATGGGGCTAGAGTGGGCAGCCAGGAAGAGTGTCCGGTATGAACGGCAGTGGTGGTCAGCAGCATGGAGAGGATGCCAGGCACCCACATCAAATCTCTTCCTCTTCACTGGCTTTGCTCCAACGGTGGCAGCAGTTGGCTGTGATGCCCAGGAGGAAATTGGTGGCCACAGATGCGATGGATACTACGAAGCCCACGAATGCAATGAAGAGATAATCATCCAGGGTCAAGGTCAGGTGACAAGCCTTGAAGCTCTCTTCAGTGAGGGAGAAGAGTGGGGCACCCTCAACTTCAGGGGGGCCCCGGCACTCAGCCAGCTGAGAATCTGCAACACAGAACCCAGGGAGGGTGAAAGGCCTGGGGAGACAGAATGGAATGGAGAGCACCCACCCTACCCAAGAGCAGTTTAGTTTCTTTTGTACCAAAATTTTTACTTACCTTCTTTAGTCCCCTCAACAGCCCTCAAGGCAAATATTTTTATACCCATTTTTATAGAAGTGGCGATCACTGTTAGGAGAACTTAGTAACTTGTCTGAAGTCCAATAGCCACTATTAATAATAGAACTGGGGCTTTTGTGGGCTACCATTGTCTCTTATATAAGCCTTCCAACTGATCTCTGGGCTTCTTCCCTTAAACCATTGCATCACAGTGGCTGAGTGATCCATTCAAACCTGAAGTCCTGTCATGTCACTCTCTGCTTCTTATCTTCACACAGACTGAAAGCCAAGGTCTTCATCAGGGGCTGCAAAGACTTCTCCCCATTGCTTCCACTCTACTCTTTGCTTACTCTGTTTCATCCACTCAAACTTCCTGGTCATTATTCCACACCCGAGCTTGTCCCCTCTTGGGTAGGGAGGGGGTGCCTTTGCATTTGTCCCCTGGTGATTATGGTTCTCTTCTGCATCTCTGCAGAGCTCAATTCCTCATGTCCTTTGAGACTTTGCTCAAATATCACCTTATTGGACTTCCCTTATGATACTCTGTAAAAGAGTATCCCCTAGGTCGTCTTTTCTAGGCATTTCCTGTCTTAGCTACTCTGCCTAATTTTTCTTGATAGTGTTTAACACTGTCTGACACCTTGTTTATTATCTATCTCCTCTACTTTGAATATAAGCATTTCCCATAGTATCGTTAGCGTCAGAACCATGTCCTGTCCATGTAAGTGCTCAGCGAATCTTTGTTAAATGAGTATGTGAATAAATGATTCTGTCCAACTCTGAAGCATTGGGTCTTTCTACTACCCTGTGTGGCTTTTCCAGGTACACAAAGTGTAGGGTTAAGAGTGTGGGCTCTGGAGCCATTGGCCTGGGTTCAAATCCCCTCTCTATCTCTCCCAAGTTGTGTGATTGAGGATAAGCCATTTAGCCCCTCTGTGTCTTGGCTTCTTCATCTGTAAAATGAGGATAATAGTAGTATCTACCTCATAGGGTTGTTATGAGGAGTCTATGAGTTAACATGTAAATGGTATGTTGTTGGTATATAGTAAGTATTGTGTAATGTGTACTTTTATTATTACCCTATTTTGGTCTTTTTGGACAGGTCAGAGGGGGGTTCTCCTTCATTGGTTTACCATTCTCTCCATCACTGATTGTCCAGAGTCACATGTACAAATCCCTCCAGGGTCACATGTACAAATGCCTGATGACTGTCAATGGTTCCATTGTGTTCTGCCTTAGGAGTAGGTAGCAGTTTGCCATTCCTTTGTTCAAATTAATTAAGTTCTCATCTTGGACAAGTTTTTTTTTCCTTTCTGGCTTTCATGAAGAAAGGGGACACATAAAAAGGAGATAGTCTAACCTATTGTCTAGGAGAGTCATTGTGAAGATGTGAAGGATTTTTCTAAATTATATGGTGCAAAATGCTTTTTACTCATTCTGTAGATTTTGGGGCCAAAAAATAAAATCATGGTTTTGGATTGACCCTTTGGGGAAATGGATGAGCATCATTATCCTTTGAAATGGGGAGCCAGGTTCAGAAAAAGAATTCAATCTGTCCCCAACCTCAGGTTGAGGTGGGTCCCTGTAGGCTGTATACAAAGTACTCTAGACCCTGCCCAGGACAAGGCTGTATCTGGAGTTGACCATCAAGAGGCTCTTCTTTTGGAACTGGAAGATGCTGAACTCCAAAGTCTACCGTGTGCCTGGGTTTGGTGAGACAATACAAAGCTAAGGAGTGTGGAGACAGTGAGGGTAATTGGTGTGGACCAACCAGAGGAGGCTCCAAGGGCATGTGGCTGAGCCCTGCAGGAGTGCAGGATGAAATTCTGGGGCTGACAAAACTCTGGCAAGTCAAAGGACCAGTCTTGAAGTTAAGTTATATCCCAAAGGCACCCTTATGTTTCTCTGTGTTGGGATTTGTCTAAAAGTTGTGGATAGTATTTAGAGTCCCATGAAAAAAGGAGAAGAAACCAAAAAAGACAGAGGGCAGAGGATTGCCTAATCCTACCTACACTGGTAAGTTCTTTACCCCCAAGAGGAAGTATCCTGGAGTGTGGTGTGGTACAAAGTGTGTTCTGTGGAGGAACGGGGAACATGGGTTTCTAGCTGTGGTATACTTGTGTTCTCACTGTTGGTTTGCAGACAGTCACTTTCCCTTCTGGAACTTGAGTCCTTCATCTGTACTGACATGAGGCCTTGGTGATGGGATCTTGGATCCCTCTCCCACTCGTTGGGAATTTGAGCTTTTTCTGAAGGGTAGCAGGAATCTAAGAGATTCCAAAAAAGGAGGAGCCCAGGTATGGTGAAGCTTAGCGCCTAGAGTGCCCCCTCTGTTTCTAGTGCACAGGAGAGAGGGGAGCAGATGCAGCTCCAAAGGTTGAACAGGTGGGGGATCGCTCCAAGCAGCCTCCCCCCAACCCCTCTACCATCGCCCTATCTCAGTCCCCAGCTATTTTGGTCCCAGAGAACATCCTCCCACAGCTCTGTGGAAACTTGGGAATCGTGACCCACAGCTCCCCCAAGCTATTTTGGTCCCAGACTCCCCACTCAGTCCTCCTCTCCCTCCTACCTCATTCATCACTTCTGAACACACTGTGAGCCCAGGCTCTGGGACATCCCCTGGGATAGTGCCCTCAGCTATTTCTGTTATTCTACTGTGGGGCTCATGCCAAAGCTGAATGCTGCCAAGCAGGAGAGCTGGTGACGGGAGCCACGACTGAATATTGCTTGCCTCCAGGCCAGGTTTGGACACCAGTAGGTGAGTCCAGGGCCCACCAAACCTTCATGATTCAGGCTCCTTCAGTCCCCAATCCACCCCTGGTTGGAATTGTCTGGTTAAATCGTCACATCCTAGTTTCTCCTCTCAACTCTCCATCTCATGCTCAAATCTTGTGGAACTCTGCTGAGACCCTTTGGCCCAGAACTTAGGCCAGAACTCATGCCCCGACTCTCCTGCCAGCCTAGAATGGACTCTTCGGGGTACAACCAGAGGCAGCCAGACTGCAAGGGTTGATTTCTGACTTCAAACACTTAGCAGAGTTGTAACTTCAGGCAAGTTACTGAACCTCTCTGTGCCTCAGTTTCACCCTCTGTAGAGTGGGAATGGCTCATTAAGGTGAGGATGAGATGAGCTAAAATATACAATATGCTTGGAATAGAGCACGGCCATAAGTACAAAAATAAATAGCGTTAGCCATTTCTATCTCTGGGAGACTGCCAGCACTCAGAACACTTAAGAAGCAGTCTTGAAGAGTAGAACAGGACTTTGAAGTCAAATACACATGAGCTTTATCCATGGCTCTGCCAGTTTGTTATTGAGTGATTCTGGGCTACTCTTTTCATGGTTCTAAACCTCAGTTTCTTCACCCGCAAAACGGGGGTGCTAAGAGTGAGACCATGCATGCCAAGTTCTTGGTCATGGTGAAAGCTCAATAAACACTGTCTATTATGAGCTCTTCTTGTTTATTGTCTGTCTGCCTCATTAGGTCATAAGTGCCACAGAGGCAAGGGCAGTGTCTGTTATGTTAATGAATGAATTTCCAGCACCTACTCTACAAAGCAAGGACTCTACAAACACTTGTGGAGCAAAAGAGCTGGGTACAGAGACGCGAGCATAAATCAGGGCACACAGTAGGGGCTCAAGATCTCTAAGTCCTCTCTTCTTTGGAGTCTTTCCTTTCAGTGAGGCCAGAACCCTCCTTTCCCCAGACCCCCAGTCCTGCCCCCTCCCTTACCTGAGGTACAGCGCTGGATCCGGTTTCGCAGCCACTTCAGCAGGGGCTCCATGGTGCAGCCGCACACCCAGGGGTTGCCGCTGATCTGCAGGGTCACCAGCCCTGGCAAGCCTTCCAGAGCCTCGAGGCTGAGGAAGGCCAGACCCCCATAGCTGAGGTCCAGGTCTCGGAGCTGCATCAGGCCCTGGAAGGCCTGCGGGTGCACCCTGCGCAACCACGGGTTGTGGCTCAGGTCGATGTGCACCAGGCCATGGGCTTCCTGGAACATGTCGGCTGGCACGTGGCTGAGGTTGTTGTAGCTCAGATCCAGGTGTGCCAAGCGCTTGGCATGGAGGAAGAGGCCTGGGGGCAGCTCGATCAAGGAGTTGTTGCGTAAATCCAACACCCTGAGCTCCATGTAGCACGTGAGGTAGCCCGGCGGCACAGTGGCGATGCGGTTGTGGGCCAGGCTGAGGTTGCGCATGTCCATTGGCAGGTCTGGGGGCACGGAGAATAGCCGTTGGCTGCTGCAATCCACCACCTGGTTATGGCATGTGCAAAGGACGGGGCAGCTGGTGCCCGCGTCTGAGTGCATCACCCCAGCTGCTAAGAGGAGGGAGACCAGGAACACGGCTGGGTTGGGGGGCCCAGGCCAGGGTAGCTGGGACCAGGTATCACCCATCTTAGGCAGCTGGCAACGGCAGTGCTGAATGGAGCCCACAGGGGCTGGGGCTGTGTCCATAGAATCAAGAGTCAGTGGCACAGGAAGGCAGCGACATCGGGGCCTAGAGCCCTGGAGGGTGGGGCTTCTGAGCAGGGGTGTCATGACTCAAGCCTTCCCTGGGAGCCTCTGAATGCCAGAGGGCTCCCTAGGTGAGAGCCACAGGAAGTCCCCTCTGGAGTCTAGGGGGCAAGCAACCCGTTTGAGGTCCCCCAGGGTCTGCAGAGATGATCAAAACTTGAGAAAGGAAGGAGGCGAGGATGGGGCTGGACCAGCTGCCAGCAGGTCGTGGAAGGGTCCCTGCAGATCTTTTGTGTCCCTCGCACCCATGACTGCTGGGGGCTTCCTCTCTGTGCTGTGTCTGAGAGGTGGGGCGGGGGGGGGGGAGCAAAGGACACGAAAGGGGCCTTTTAAAGGTCCCAGAACACCTAAAAGTCCCCAGCCCTGCCCCAGGTCTGGGATTGATGATCAGGATGCCAGAGCTGCGTCGGGATCTCCAGCATTCAAGGTCTCAGAGGGGATTCTATTGGTGGCCCAGTGGACTCGAGTCCAAGGGGGTCCATGGGTGGGTGCTTTGGGCAGGGAGCCCGGAGTGAAGTGGATCTCCATGGGCCTCCCGAAAGCCCGAGTCCTCGGCCTCAGTGTCTATGGTAATCCCCGGGGAGGGGAAGACCCCAAGTGCCACCCATTGTTTGCACTGCTGAGCCTGGAAAGAGTCATGTGTCCTGAAGGTGCAGGAGTGGGCAGCTAGGAGCTCTGGCAACTTCCCAAGTTGGTGCTTCCCTTAGGCGGCTCTGTGTTCAGCGGGTGGAGGCAGAATTCCTTCTGGCAACAAGGAAAGCACTCAGGCAGAGGAACGGTGCCCTCTTCTCCCCGTGGCCCCTCTCCTAGGCTCGGTGCCCCCACCTCCCCCCTCTACTCAAAGTTCTCTGTATACTGTCTGTGTCTCAGGTGAGGCCATGGTGGGCTCAGACCCCAACCTCACACGGTTGTTACTCACTAACCTTGCGGGCCCCTTCCTTCAGCTATCCTCCTAAGTGTCTGTCCTGCGCTGGATGCATTTTCTCATGCTCATAGCCCCACCTCCACAGCACCAAATACCCCACCCTTGCACAACTCTCAAAGAAAAAAGGCATACACACTCCAGCCGATTGCAGACCTCTTTCAGCCCTCTTAGCTCTCTTTCTCTGTCTCTCTCTCTCTGACACACACACACACACACACACACACACACACACACACACACACACACGTTGTTCCACTCCTGTGACTCCAGCACATTTGCCCTGCCCTGCGCTCATGCCTCCCCAGTTTTCTCTCCAGCATCCTTCTGAACATGCACTCTGCCCCTCCCAGTCTGTCCCCACCATCTTTCACCCCCAGTGCACACCCCTAATCTCAGCATCCTTTCCCACAAACACTCCACTCTCCCCTTAGCCCCCCAGCTTGAGCCCACACCCACACTTGGCCAGGCAGAGGGACAGAGCACGATGCCACCCTCGGTGGGTGGCTCACCCTGCCATCCACTCTGCGGCCAGCCTCCGAGCCCCTGGATTCTCCGCTGCCCACCTGCTGTCCTCACTTGTCCTCCCCACATCCCCTCCTCTGACACTGCTTCTCTCCCCACTGATTCCTGCCTCAATCTCACCCACTGGGAAGTCACCCCAGCTCCCCTTGATCCAGACTCATTTTCCTGAGCCCCAAAGTCTCCACCTGCACTCCCACAGGCCCCCAGGAGCCCACTTACTCTGTTCCAAGGACACAGCCATCAATCTGCGGCAGACAGGGGCTCCCTCCCTCATGCTGGAATCCCTGCTTGCGGCTTCAGGAGAACAGATTGCCTCCTCGGCTAGTCCCCTCCCCCGGCCTCTCCTCCATGGCTCCTGGCTGCCGGGGCTGCATCCTCGGTGGTTTCCTGTCCTGTGGTCCCCGAGCTGGTCCCCTTCTTTTACCCAAAAAGGGAATCCGAGGGAGGATGCTGAGAAGAAAGTTCACAGAATCCGAATGCTTCTTCCAGAAACTCAGCTTGGTGCTGAGGCTGCTGGGGTTTGTGGCTGCCGTCAGGTCTTTCCCTCCCTTCCTTTCCCTCCCTCTCTCCCCCTCCTCTCTTCCTTTTTCACTCCCCTTTTTTTCCTCGAGGGCCAGGTACTGACGTTTCACTGTCTCTTAGCAACTGCCTCCACATCTCTGAGCAACAGGAGCGCTGTCTATGGACCCCACTAAGATGAGACAGAAAGAAGCAGTTGTAGAATTCACAGCCACCCACAGATCCTAGGGCAAGGGGGACAAGGGGCTGGGGGGGGGGGCGGGTTGACAGAACAGGACAGGGGCAGCGGGGAGGAGCAGGCAGGGAGAGAGGGCAAAGGGCCCAGCGGAATCTGAGATAGAGGAGGGGGAGTTTTGGGACTTCAGATCCACAAGGGACAGTAAAGAGGACTTGGAATGGAGAATGGGACTTAGTGGGGGGTGGAGGGCAGGTGGAGAAAATGGGGGAGGCCATGAAGACATGAATAAGGATGGAAAGAAAAAAGGGAAGTGGATGTGACAAGTTGGCTCACTTGATGGGGTATAGCTATTCAGTCCACAGATAACATCTGCTTCCCTGAGTTCGAATATATTTTGGTCACCAGGTAGCAGGTGACTGGACTGGCCCAGGGCTTGTCAGGTACAACTATAGGAGGGGAAACCTTTTCTTGGTTCCTTAATTGTCACTAAGTCCTGACGCCACAAGCTCTGAGGGCTTTTGGGAGGCAAAGGGTCAACTGCCAGGTCCAGATGCCTGGAGCTATAGAGACACTCAGTTCTGTCTGTAGGGCAGTGGGAGCTGCCAGGACACCTTGCGGTCCTGTTCTTTTTCTTCAGGCCCCCGGGACTGTCTGCTGACCTGCTCCCACCTCTCCAAGCTTCCAGTCCCTCCCACCCAGGCTGATGTCAGATGAGGGTGAAGTCTTTGCAGCACTTCTCGTCTTAATGACCCATTGAACAAGTCTCTAGCTGCCCTGCATTTTGATAACCAACTTGACTAGTTGGTTTGGTCAAAGAGCTGGCTCATGTCATTTTAAAAATAACTATTTATTGAGCACTTACTGTATGGCTGGTGCTTAGCTAGATTTTTTTTTGCCCTGTGTGTTCACTCAGTTGATCTGGGGCCTCTTCTATTTAAGTAATATCTTAGGTCTTTGAGGGAAACTAAATCGGAGTAACGGAAAGTGAATGCTCAGTTGTACAGATCTGGGCTTTTATAAAGTTCTCAGGATCATTGACTTCTCTTTTTCCTGTATGGCCACAGAAGGTCTGCTTCCCTTCCCATATTCTGTCCTCTCTCATATTCTGCTCATTGAATCTTTCATGTTCTAAAGAGTCTAACACACAGTAACAGGGGAGCTACTCAATTAATACTTATACATTGCATTGGTTGAGGTAAATATGATTGCCCCCCTACCTTAAAGAAGGGGATGATGGCTGTTAACTCATTTATGAGCTTAGAAATAAAATCTTAATCTTTATGCAGAAAACACAGCAACACATTAGAAGAAGTAATCCAGTATAATCAAGGAAAGCAAAGCTAGCATGATACCTTTTTAATAATAAATGAAAAATGGTAGAAAACATAATTATCTCAATAGAGGCTAAGAAAGGTAATAGCATATTTCTACATTTAATGTTAACTGAAGACACTTAAAAAACAAAAAATGGAGATTTTCTTCCTTTGCATAATATACAGTTTATATTTACAATTAGAAAAAATAATATGACTAAAGGAAAATGTGGCAGTTTCCTTAAAAAATAAGATCTAGGAGGAACGCCTGATCATCTTTGGAAACTACAGTTTTTTGACCTGTAAAATTGGGATAATAATAATGGCATCGAGCTCATGAGGTTGCTTTAGATTATTAATAAAGCACTGTTTGCTAAATGAATAAATCAAGTAAAATAAAATGGCAAAGTATAAAATTGAAATAGTTATGCAGCAAGGAAAACAATTGCACAAAAATGGGAACTAAAGAAAGAAAAATGTCACATTTGCAGATGACTTGAATGTATTCTTGTGCAAGATAAGTCTCAAAAACTTCTGAGGTCCCCAACTCAAGAACATTATCATTGCATATAAGTCTTCCGTAAAAGTGAGGTTAAGTGAAGGCAGAAATCTTTTAGATAACTTTTAATCCATAATTATTCTATAATGATTGTTTCTCAAACCATTGTTTCTCAAACTGGTGTCTCATGGTATTCTGTGTGCTGTGAGAAAAATGTTCTCAAATAAGTTTGAGAAACATCGAATTAAGCAAAATGAAACAAATTTATTTTTTTGCAAGACTTCTCAAGGCTTTAATGTGTAAATGTTCATGGAGGCTCTCCAAGGGAAGGATGGAAGATATATAATACCCAGCATTACCCTTATGCGGGGTGGCTGGCTGCTCCCCTTAACAATGTGACTTTCTCTTACACAGTAACCTTGCAGGGGGAGTGATTCAATTTTGAGTTCCAGCAAAATGTTAAATAATAACATATCATGGCCTTTTGGAGTCTCTTGCAAGTTATTGAAACCGTGACCATTCAGTCATAAATGTCAAGAATTACTCTACTGGGAAAATACACTGAAATTAGTCTAACAGTTAGAGACTACAGATGAATTGAAAAATCATTTTCATCATTATGATTTCTTGGCATACATAGTAAATTAGTTGCAATAATGACAGGAAAACCTTTAAATACATGAGAATTAATTTAATCTACCACATAAGAAGTTTGTTCAGGGAAAATTATGAAACCTTAGTAGGATGAAGATGCAGGAAGAAATGGAAAGCTGATCTCTCTAGTTGCTGGAAACCTTTAAAAATAAAATAATGACTCTGCTTTCTACATTATAATAATTTAATGAAGTAGTTAGCAGAATGTGGTCAACTGGTAGTGAAAGCATCCGGGAGGAAAATGGAGAGGATGCACAAATGATATTAATAAAGATGATGATGAAGGAAATGCTTGAAAGTAATGGTAGTAGAGTTCCCTAACTAAAAGATTAAAAAATATATTGCAAACTGAAAATAAACCAATGGCATTACTCAACATTTGTGCTTTGAAAAATGACCCATGGGATAGACTAG